TTATACACTTATACTTCCTTACAAGTTTTTACATCGCCACTAGCGATTACAGAAAAAAGCGCAGCGCACGCCTTTGTGCAACCATCTGCCAAAACAAGCGGGTACAAACATAATATTAACACACAGAAATCATGTCACCGGCCAGATGTGTACCGGGGGATCACACCCATACGATTCTCTCCCACCTAATTATTTCGTCCCAATGCCTCCTCGCATTGAGTCGCTTTCTCGTCCGGCGAGGCGAGATCTGCGCGCTGATTGGCTGTGGCCAACATCGCGCGGCCACTGTGCGTCGGCCCAGGAGCCTGCGCATGCGCGTCGGTCCGACAGCGAACGCTCCGCCGCTGGTTAGTGATGACTCCACCGGCGAGTCGCTCGAGTCGCCGCGCTTGCTGCCGTGGTTTCGGGACTTGAGCACGTCGTCGGTCAGTTGGACCTCCTCCTGGCGCAGAAGCCGGCCGACACCTCCTCTTCCGTCTCCGACTGGGTCACGGTGTCGGAGTCTGTAACGGCAAAATATTTGCTCAGGGAGGCCTGTGATAACGTTGTATCGAGTGTTCGTGAGCTTTACGTCAAAGTGTAGTTCATGCTACCGCAGATCCAGCGCATATTCAGATCTTTTCACAGTCATATTAAAAATGTTGGTTCAAAGCAAACATGCCCATAGCCTTTTTGGACGAAAACAGCTTCGCCATGTTTTAGCATTCCTTGCAAATGTTCCTGGTCCTTATCTCCGCGACCTGATGATCCATTGCAAAGCAATCTCGTACATTGCTCCAAGACGCCGCGCTAGGGCAATGTGTCTTCGGATTTATGTTGACAAAACATTCATGTTGCAAAGAAAGTGCCTTATTATCAATCAGTGCGAAGGCACGGATGCAGATTGCAGGTAATCCTGCAGCACTCTGTTGATGTTGCATCTTGTCTTCAGCTCACCTTCGTCGGCGTGCTCGACGCCATCCGACTCGTACAGATCACTGCCGTCTTCCGAGGCCAGGTCCGTGTGGAGGAGATGCCATCTCTCGGCCAACCGGAGAACTTCGTCGTCGTCCAGCGCCGGCTCGAACTCGTCAGAGCCCGGCGACGAGTCGTCGTCACTGCAGGTCAGACGATTCAAGGACCAGGTCAATTTTTCACTGGGAGCCAAGCGATTCAAATGTCTAAATGTTTGATCCTGAACTGTGTGCGAAAATGAACGTTAGACCCGAAAATAACGCCCAAACAATCAACTTGACAAACGTAAAGAGAAAACTACCGTAAAGTTTTCACTTTGACCTTGATCGATCTTCAAGTGATCAATCACCTGAATTCAAAACAAACATGAAAGAAATGTTTAGAGCAATCCGTTCAAAAATGTCTCCGGGAGAATCCGAAAACTAAAGACTCTCTTTAAAGTCATTAAGCTAATATAAACACGAAACACCGGGTCGCTAAACACGCGACTGCGCACGGTGCCGGCAGCTGACCTGGACTCCAGGCCGCTGGCCAACTCAGCCGTGGAGAGGAAGTTACGGTCGGTCGGTCACTCGTCCTCGTCCATCTCCGAGAGAGGCTCGTCCTCAGAGAGCAGGTCCACGCTGTTCTCGAACTCGGCGCGCTCCGGGGTGACGCCGCGGCGAGAGGTCAGCGCGCGCGGCACCTGCGCGGACCGGTGGCATGGGACACGGTCACACGGAGTGAGAGCGGGGAACAAGCGCACCTGCGCGGGCCGGTGGCACGGGACACGGGTCACACAGAGTGAGAGCGGGGAACAAGCGCACCTGCGGGCCGGTGGCACGGGACACGGGTCACACGGAGTGAGAGCGGGGAACGACCGCACCTGCGCGGGCCGGTGGCATGGGACACGGGTCACACGGAGTGAGAGCGGGGGCCCTGGCACCTGCAGGCTCTGCTTGCAGGGGAGCCGGGTCACGCAAGGCGCTGGCAAGCCTCGACGACTGGAGGTACGCCTAATCGGGACCACGCCATGGAGAAGAAAATGTACGCACCTAAAACATCAGATAGCAGATGTGCCAAAATTCACTAACGTGTCTGAGCACAGCGCGCAGACCGCAAATACACTTGCACCAAAAAGGCTGTGTCCGAGGCATGGCAGAACAGCGAGCGATGCCCACCACAGGTCAGACAGGCAGCTAACCTCAGCGATGGGAGCAGGCTCTGGAAGGACCGTCGGCACCTCGTTCCTCTGATACTTGTACTTCACCAGGGAGTGCAGGCCAAAGTGCGGCATGCAGAAGAACCGTCCCGTGTCGCTGTCGTGTGCGTAGTTTACTGCGGCAGGAGGTTGTGCGTACGCTGAACACCACGCAGGTTATGGACGGCCGCGCGCACACTCACTTTTGTATACTAACGTCGGAACAGTCAAGTGCCTCGTGGTGTCCAATCTTGTATCGACGAGCTCTCAGAGTCCAGCTGATAAGCTCAAACCACCGCGACCTCGTTCGGGATGTCTTTCGGAGCGTTTCCTGTCGGGGCGGCGTGGCAGCCCGCTACTCACGAGGCTTCAGGGTGACGTTGCAGTACTCGCAGCGGAAGCAGGGCGGGTGGAACACCTTCCCGTTGGCCACCATCCGCTCCACCAAGTAGACGCGTTGGCAGCAGAAGTGGCACGTCTCGGCGGCGGCGCCCGAACCCTGGCGGCCACAGACGGAACTAGAGGGCGGCCTCGCACTCCAGCCCGTCCGGGGACGGCACGGCAGAGACCGACGCTGGCGGGTCCGGGCCGCAGCACCCGCAGCACCGCTCACCGGTGCGGCACCACGGCAAGCCAAGGTGCCGCCTTATCTTTGTGGACATACCGCCGCCTGTTTCGCTTGGCGTCCAGTATGACCTTCGCAGTGCGTCCACAGTCTGACCTAAGTCGTGTGTCGGCTCGCCTGCTTTTGCGTCCCGTCAGGAGTTAGGTCCGCTTTCAGACGAGTGGTGGGTTGGAGGGGGAGCCGCAGCTTTTCCTCCAGAACTTCCACAAAAGAGCATTAGCCCCATAGAATTTCGTGGAAGGAAACGACTTAAAAGCGAAGTTGCGCTGTCCTTCCTCCATCGAGGTTCCGTTGCTAGCGCCTCCAGAGTGCAGCCGTCGCACGCACCAGTGTGAGCGTGGGTCGGTCGCAGTCGGCCGCCTGTCGTGGGGGCGCTGGCGTCGCCGCCGAGCGTCGCCCCGGGCGGGTCGGCGGTCGGTGCTGACGGCAGCTGCTCGCCACCCCTCGTCCCCGTCGGCCGTCCAGGTCACTGGCGGCTCGTCCCGTCTCGTCTCGGCCCCCGCCTGCCGTCCAGGTCAGCGGCGGCTCGTCCCGCCTCACCCCGTCTGCCGTCCAGGTCAGCGGCGGCGGCTCGTCCCGCCTCACCCTCGCCTGCTGTCCAGGTCAACGGCGGCTCGTCCCCCCCCCCCCCCCGTCTGCCGTTCACGTCAGCGGCGGCGGCTCATCCCGCCTCACCCTCGTCTGCCGTCCAGGTCAGCGGAGGCGGCTCGTCCCCCCCCCTCCCCGTCTGCCGTCCAGGTCAGCGGCGGCTCTTCCGACGGTCCTCGTCCAGCAGAGAACGCTGGAATACCTCACGTACTTATCTGGTGTACACGTTGGCTGTCGGCTCCGTGTGTTGTGACACCCAGTTTGTTATATTTATCACGTTCAGTCTGGAACGTCGAATACTTCAGTTTCATTGCTTTTTTGTGAATATGTCGCCAGTTGTTTGCTAAGGCCTGTTTACAGCTCCTATCGCGTGTTACTCCTTTGTCCGTCTGAGAGTGAGGGCACTGAAGACACCGTTTCACCTCCAGCATTTGTGTAACATTACGTCACGGCGGTTTGTGGAACAGACAGCGTAGGCACTGCGGATATCCATCGCCTCATCATTCACAACGAGTTCAACTCGGTGAATTCAATGAGTTGAGTTTGATTTCGATGCGGTGTGTGGATAGTAGCGGTACAATCCGCACTTAGTTTGTAAATTGACAAAATATCACATTTCGAACAGCTCAACCATGTGATGATATTCGGTGGAGCCCATCGTATCATCATAGTACTCCAGATCTCTTCATTTAATCAAAATTCTGTAGTTTGTCACGCCATTAATCTGCGCCCGTCCCATCGTTATCCGGTTAAATTCACGGCAGTTCCAAAAAGTAGTCATTTCTTTCTGCATTTCAACAGCATCATATTTATCCAATACGTGCCGCGCTTTTGTTCCGTCATTTGTACCAGCCGCGTGTCGACAACGCCCCGCCTGAGCTGCGTGTTGTCGGCAATACGCGGCTTAAGCGGACCTACCGGTGTGTCTCCGGGTTCAAAGCCCGAATCCACCGCTTGGCAAACCGTCAGCCATCCTGCAGTCAGTGGCTTCAGACCCTCAGCTGTCTGTCCCAACTTTCAGGGTGTGCCATTCTCGTAGTCATGCCATTTTCGACCCATTTTGCAGGTTGGGGGTTGTACCTTTTGCACTTGTTTGCGAATACGTTTGTCGACCTGTTTCTGTTGTTTGCGCCACGGTATCCGTCTAGTTATTTTACGGTCCGTTGTTGCCAGCAATCGTCTGTGCCTGCCTTTTCAACCACTGTATGAGCAATGAGCACTGCAGTGTATGAGCACTGCAGAACAATGTTCTCAGTTCGCCTTGGTCTTTTTTGCATTGCAAAGAACCGCTCGCTTCGGCTATAATATGCCACATGTCAGCGTTACTTGGACGCTCGCAGCATGCGTTGATGTGGACCCCGTGCCGTATTTCGCCGTTAGTCATTAACTTTCTATGCCTGGTAGTTCTGTCCGTATCATCCCTTCTCCCGTCGCTCCACTGTTTATGCCGCATAGGTGAGTACATACAGGCACACATCACCGTGTCTGTACGCCAGTGGAAGACTGCGCGGTCGATCCTGTCATTATCGCCGCATGCAGCTGATGCACGACATCCGTCAGTCCTGTCCTCGTATTTACAAACAATTCACGCACGACTTGATTCAACATACGTCTGGGCCTAACTTCTCGCCGTAGTTTGATTCCCATCCGACCCAGTGAGTTCATCATTTCCGGGGTGATTGTCGTACATTGCCTTATCACCCACGTCTCAGTCGTCGGTCGGTCCTAATCATCCCACTCGCGAGCATCGCTCGTCATCTCTGTGTGCGGCAGGGTCAGTGTCCTGTGCAGCCTCTGTGTTTGTTCTTGCCAGGCGTCTGCCAATGAGCTGGCTCAGGTGTTTCCAGTCCCATGTCAGTCCCCACAGCCCGGCTGTGTTGTCACCAGCACTGCGTCCGTCTCCACAGTTCGGCTGTGGTGTTTCCAGTCCCGTGCCAGTCTCCACAGCTCGGATGCGGTGTTTCCAGTCCCGTGTCAGTCTCCACAGCTCGGCTGCGATGTTTCCAGTCCTGTGTCAGTCTCCACAGCTCGGATGCGGTGTTTCCAGTCCCGTGTCAGTCTCCACAGCTCGGATGCGGTGTTTCCAGTCCCGTGTCAGTCCCCACAGCCCGGCTGTGTTGTAACCAGCACTGCGTCCGTCTCCACAGTTCGGCTGTGGTGTTTCCAGTCCCGTGTCAGTCTCCACAGCTCGGGGACAGCCCCGCTGTGTGCCCTCAGTTTCAGCGTGCGTCTAGCCATACAACATCGTCGCTGTCCGAGTCTATTTCCCGGGGGAGGTCGCTCGTGCTCATCATGCTGCGTAGCTCGGGTTGAGGTTGAGGTGTGCTGTGCAAGAGACCCGTACCCACACGCACGTCAGCTAGGCCACAGCGACCGATGTACTGTGTGTTTCCCTCCACTCAACTGGCATAGGAAACGGCGCACGTAATATCAGCACGAATGCAATAGCATAACATGCTCTCATATGATCATATCGCATAGGAGATCGCATGAGTCGTTCGATTGTTTTACTCATAGCTTTATATGGATACCATCCGTCGGCCAAGGTAGTTTTTTTTACCGAAACACAATCAAGCAAACATTGAAAACTTAACGTACACTTCCAGCGAGTCGAGCTGAGTGCAACACGTTCCTCCTAAATCGCGTTTGAGCTTACTCTCTGTTCGTCCCCTCCCTTCCCCAATATGAAACCTGCCAACGCAGTCAGTTTTTCGTCAGTCTGTCATCTCACCGCGCCAGCCTTCCCAGTCCGCCGCTGTCTTTCGCCTTCCCAGCCCACGCCCAGCCCCCCCCCCCCCCCCCCCGGGTCAATCATGCCGGTCTGAGATCTCCCCTCGTGCCTCGTGCGCCTCAGCCTCCCCCCCGCCGACGGCAGCACGGAGTCCCCCGCTCATGCGTTTAGTGCCCGCCATAGCCGGCGGGCGCGGCTGCGCCAGTGACAGAGCGCTGGAAGTGCAGCGGCCAGCACAGCCGCCGTTGGAGCCGCGGCAGTGCCGTCCGCCACCCGCGGCGTGCGTTAGTCGACGCCTGCCTGTACACGGGTAGAGCGCGACGGAGACGCGGCCGTCGCGGCCGTATGTACAGGGGCCGGCGGACCGCTGAGCGGCGCGCCACCCTCCACCGCCGCGCCGCTCCGTGAGCTCCGTGCCAGAGGCTTGTGTCCACGCGGACGCCATCTGCTGGGAGGCGGCACCGCAGGCAGAAGAAATGAGCAGACGCAGGCCCCCGGAGACCGGCATGCGGACAGAGAGCGGACAGCGGCCCCGGGACAGGACGGGCAGGACAGAAGCGCACCACCAGAAGCTTAGTCGAGAGATATTAATCAAAGCAGTCCCGCTCTTGGTTAGGCATTTATTGGTGTAAAAGATATTTAAAACACAACAATAACGCAGGTGATAACATCCGATATCACACAAGGAAGCGTAGTAATGACCAGCGCAGGCCCTGAGGCCCTGCATCCCTGCGAATGCCCGTCAACTGAGCATAACCACGTAAAACAGTCCCATCGCCTACAACTGTTACAGCTTATCGCCCGGGTCCTGAGCGTAAACCTGTTATGACGCCGGGCGAACACGCCGGTGTCACGGCTGGCCCTCACACAGGTACAAATATAGCACCACACAAAACAGCCACCTCTCCCGGCGCCGCAGCGACGTACTGCGCCGACGGACCAAGGACATCGCATCGCCCTCGCCGCCTCACAACCTGCCCCCGCTGCGAGCCCACGTCCCTTCCCAGCCGAGCGGCCACCCGCCGCGAGCCACAGCCCGCTGCGAGCGACTACCCGCGACGAGCGACTACCTGCCGCGAGCGGCCACCCACTGCGAACGGTTACTCGCCGCGAGCGACTGCCCGCCGCGAGCGACTACCCGCCGCGAGCGACTACCGGCTGCGAGCCACAGCCCGCTGCGAGCGACTACCTGTGACGAGGGACTACCCGCCAGCAGCCGACCGGCACAGCACCACAGCCCCTAGCGGTCGAACCCGCGCAGCGCGTCGCCCACGACCAGCGAGAGCGCATACGCCGCCAGCGAGTAGCATGCGCAGGCCAGCACGAGCGCGCGGAGGCGGGCGACCGCCGCGCGCGCCGAGCTTCGCAGTCGCGCCGCCAGGCCGCGCTGCGCTCGTACCTGGGCCGGCGGCGGTGGCGGCGGCGGCCTGCCGTGCTCCCTCGCCCCGAACCGCTGCGCTATCTGAGCCACGCGGTTCGAGCCGTGCAGGTGCTGCCGGTGTGGAGGGGTGACGGTTGGAGGCGAGCAGCGGCAACTCGACATTGCAGTTATTGGGGCAGGTGCGACCGAGGGCACGTCTGTCAATCCTTCGCGTTCACATCGCGCATCAAATCTCGACTTAGAGCGACAGCCAGACATGATGCAAAGCACTGAACAAATCGCAGTGGTGTTATCTTTAGGGCTTCCTGTCTGAGAAACCTAGCCAGAGAGCAGCTGCGTCAAGGTGCGATGACGTGCTGACCAGGCTCGAGCAAGCCGAATCTGAGGCGGCTTGGGCCGACTCCAGCGCTATTTAAGATCAATCAGCGATGATTTACTCAACAAGCCTCGTCGGCAGCAGCCCGAAATACCAGAGGCTTTCGAAATAGATGGCCGGTGTCGACGGTCGGCACCAGACCACCGGTCCACAGAACAGACCACACTACCTGGGGCGTTGTTCGTGCTTTAACTATTTTCAAACACGCAACCAATGTGGTCGTTCACGTTCCATTCTTTCGCATCAAGACGAGGAATCAAATGGTAGCTTTCAGCAGGGCACGCATCTAAGGTCTGGAAGCCTAGAAACACGGCCCTCTGACGGCGTACTCCGGCGTCGGCGCACCTTGTCGCTGAAGGCGTCGCGGCTCCAGG